CTTGCTGTCTCCTAGGAACTCTTAATATCATTCTTTGAGGGCAACAGCTACTGTTATACAATATGGATTGGTGCAGCATTCGTGTGTTTCATGCACTCCAGGAAATTTCGGCAATCAGTTTGATGGGGAGAGAATGCAGTCATGAAGAACAATTCTCCTGATTATATTTCTTTCAGTTAATGGGCTTCAGTGTTCACAGTGTCAAAGCTAACCTTCCTGTGTGGCCCACACAGCTCAATTCCTGGGAAGTGTAAATACTCAGACAGGAACTGGGTTTGTTCACCAGTAGTCTGCCAGTTGTTAGCTGACAGTAAGGCCCCTAGCTGTGCATCAAGATGACTGGAGGATCACATTGCCAGAGGACAATGTGCTAACCTGCATAACTCACCCTTTCTATCTGGCGTACCTGAGATTTCCACAGTCTCATTCAGACTAAAGACTTTAAGTCTCTCCCCAAGCTTCTGTTTTTGTAAAATAGTTATGTTCCTTTCCTCAGGGTCAATGCTGCATGTGGCTGCAGTGACAAGAAGCTCTGCGATAAAGGACAGATCAAAGGTAAAGTTACTGTAGTCCTACCTGACCATAGAGCTGCTCTCTCATTAGACACTTGGCGGTGGTTTAACCTGAGGGTCACCATTCCTCAGGCAAGGGGGAAGTTTGAGAAGGACAGTATCTCATGGTAACCTCAGTTCCTGCAGGAATTGAACCCATGCTATTGGTATCAATCTACATCACAAACCTGATTTCAAGTCCACTAACCCCACTGACCTAACTAGAACTAATTAAGGCTGCAGATGGGGCTTTAAAGTAAATAGTGGGATGGGTACTGTTGTGGGTAAAGGAGAAGTAGTATTGTGGGTTAGTGATGGGTTCATTATTACCAGAAAATAAAAGGAAAGGACAGAATATGTGAATGTCATAATGGAACCAAAGAACCATGAATGCAGGGAAACTTGATAACTGAATAAACTTAAAGACTTTGTATCCTCATGTGTGAAAAAAATCAGAATAGTTTAGATGAATGGATAGCATAAATCAAGGTAGATTGCAATCTCAAACACTTTAAACTATTTAAATATGGAGAAGGTCTCAGAAGATAGTAGGAACTGCAGATGCTAGAGAACCTGAGATAACAAGGTGTAGAGCTGGATGAACACAGCAGGCCAAGCAGCATCAGAGGAGCAGGAAAGCTGAAGTTTCGGGCCTAGACCCTTCTTCAGGGGGGAATGATGGTGACCGCAGGACCCTCTAAACCAACATCCACTGTGGGGATGACAAGGCAACCATGGCTGACAAGGGAAGTCAGGGACAGCATAAAAGCAAATGAAAGAGCATACGATATAGTGAAAATCAGTGGGAAGCCAAGGGATTGGGAAGTCTTTAAAAACCAATAGAGGAGTAAAGGGGGAGAAGATGAAATATGAGGGTAAGCTCACAAGTAATATAAAAGAAGATTGCAAGAGTTTTTTTAGATACATAAAAGGTAAAAGAACAGCAAGAGTAGAAATTGGATCAATGGAAAATTAGGCTGGAGAAGTAGTAATGGGGAACAAAGACATGGCAGAAGAACTGAATAGGTACTTTGCACCAATCGTCACAGTGGCAGACACCAGCAGCATACAAGAACTTCAAGTAGTCAGAAGGCAGAGGCAAGTGTAGTGACCATCATTAAGGAGAGGGTGCTGGGGAAGCTGAAAGGTCCGAAGGTGGATAGGTCACCCAGATCAGGTGGACTATACCCCAGAGTTCTGAATGAGATAGCTGAAGAGATTGTGGAGGCATGGTTGGTAATCTTTCAGGAATCACTGGAGTCAGGGAGGGTCCCAGAGGACTGGAAAATAACTAACGTAACACACTTGTTTAAGAAGGGAGGGAGGCAGAGAGAGGAAACTATAGGCTGGTTAGCCTGACCTCGGTTATCGCTAAGATTTTAGAGTCCATCATTAAGGATGAGATTTCAGAGTTCTTGCAAGTGCGTGGTAAAATAGTGCTGAGTCAGTGCCACCTCATCAAGGGGAGGTCATGCCTGACAATCTGTTAGAATTCTTTGAGGAGATAATGAGCGTGTTAGACAAAGGAGAGCTAGTGAACATGATCACTTTGGATTTTCAGAAAATCTTTGACACGGTGCCACACAGGAAGCTGCTAAATAAGATAAGAGCCCATGGTGTTAGGGGGAAGGTACTGGTATGGATAGAGGATGAGGTTGCAGACTTACTTGCTGAGCCGGTGTGTTTGGTTGCAGACGTTTCGTCACCCTGCTTGGTAATATCGTCAGTGCGCCTCTGGTGAAGCGTTGGTGTTCTGAACCATTTGTTATTTATATGCCTCGGTTTGCTGGGGTGGTTGGCATTATTTCTGGTTCTGTTTTTCGTGGTTTGTATATTGGGTCCAGTTCAATGTGTTTGTTGATGGAGTTCCGGTTGGAATGCCAGGCTCCAGGAATTCCCTGGCATGTCTCTGTTTGGCTTGTGCCATTATGGATATGTTGTCCCAGTCGAATTTGTGTCCTTCTTTGTCTGTGTGTAGTGAGACAAGTGAGAATTGGTTGTGTCTCTTGGTGGCTAGTTGGCGTTTGTGGATCCTTATTGTCAGTTTTCTTCCAATTTGGCCTATGTAATGTTTCTCACAGTCCTTTCATGGTATTTTGTATATTACATTAGTTTTATTAGTTGTGGGTATGGGATCCTCTACATTCGTCAGTAGCTGTCTCAGGGTGGTTGTTGGTTTGTGGTCTACCCTGATACCGAGGGGTCTGAGTAGTCTTGTGGTCCTCTTTGATATGTCTCTGATATACAATAGGGTGACAGGTGCGTCTGGCTGTGTTGTGTCTTCTTGTTGTTGTGTGTCGCAGAGGTAATTGTGCTTTTTGGGTATCCATTCCTTTTAAAAACTCTACATAAGTGCTCCTGTCCTGCTTTGCGCAGTTCCAGGTTGCTGCTGCTGTGTTGTGGCCCATCTGAATAATGTCCTGATGCAGCTCCATTTATGGGTGTTGGGGTGGTTGCTGGTGCAATTATTCGCCGTATCTCCATGCCAGACCACAACAAGAATACACAACACGGCCAGACACACTAGTCACCCTACTGTACATCAGGGACACAGCAGGGTGATGAAACATCTGCAATCAAACACGCCGGCTTGGCGAGCGAGTCTGCAACCTCATCCACAAGCTACCCCAACCCAAGCTACAAATCTTCTCAAAAATTTAGATAGAAGATTGTCTGACTGGCAGAAGGCAAAGAGTACGGATAAAGGAGTCTTTTTCAGGATGACATCCAGTGACTCAGGGGTCCATGTTGAGACCACAGCTATTCACATTATACATTAACAATCTGTACAAGGGAACTGAGGGAATTGTTGCTAAATTTGCAGATGACAAAAATAGGTGGAGGGACAGGATAGTGTTGAGGAAGTGGGAAGGCTGCAGAAGGATTTAGACAAGCTAGGAGAGAGGGCAAAAAAATGGGAGATGAAGGAATAGTTTGTGGGAAAGTGTGAGGCTATGTACTTTGGCAGGCAGAAAAAAAGAACAGAGGCATAGACTATTTTCTGAATGGGGAAAGTTTTCAGAAATTTGAAGGGACTTGGGAATCCTCATTCAGGATTCTCTCAAGGTTAATATGCAGGTTCAGTTGACAGTTAGGAAGGCCAATGGAATGTTAGCATGTATTTTGAGGCAGCTAGGTATGAGAGCAGAGATGTACTGCTGAGGCTGTGTAAGGCTCTGGTAAGTAAGGATGTGCTGACATAGGAGAGGGCCCAAAGAGGTTTACAAGAATGATCCTGGAGATGAAGGGCTTGTTATATGAGAAGTGGTTGAGGACTCTGGGTCTGTACTTGATGGAGTTTAGAAGGATAGAGGGTGGGAATCTCATTGAAACTTACAGAATACTCAGAGGTCTGGATAAAATGGATGTAGAGAAGATGTTTCTACTATGGGAGTGAGAGGACAACCCTTTAGAACTGAGATGAGGACAAATGTCTTCAACCCGAGGGTGGTGAATCTGTGGAACTCATTGTCGGGAGGGCTGTGGAGGCCAAATCATTGAATGTCTTTTAGACAGATAGATAGGTTTTTCATTAGTAAGGGGATCAAGGTTACAGAGAGAAGGCAGGAATATGGGATTGTGAAACATATCAGCTATAGTCGAATTGTGGAGGAGATTCAAAGGGCCAAATGGTCTAATTCTGTTCTTATATCTAATGGTCTTATGGAGCCCCGAGATGTAGATCACACTCATATTCAGCAACACTGTTTCAGTTCACAGAACCACTGCAGAGAGAAATCGTTATTCAGAAGATGGAGATTGCTACAGCTGGAAGGGACACCCCTCCTGCTGGTTCATTATTTCCTGAAGCTCCTGGTATTTGATAGGAAACGCACAGTCAATCAGATTTAGACTGAGTGGTTTAAATTGGAGAAGATTTTCATTTACCGTACCACAGTATGGATTGGAGGCAAGGAATGGCTCCCCTCAGCACCATCTGGGCTACAGCCAGGGCTTCAGTCAAGGTCCCTGCTTGAAGGCTGGGTGTTGGCTGAGTCAAGGTCAGAATATGTCCCACTTCGGGGTGTGATAATCAGTTAGCTGTTGCTGACTTTACTGAAAACAGGAGGCTGGTAAGGGTGACGGTCTTTCTGAGGCGTACAGAGAGAAGGAACGAGGAAGAATAAAGATATTTGCAGCTATTTATTAGGGTCACAAAAAGAACAAGGAGTGAAACAGAATCCACTCTCCCAGTGCAAGCTGTATCCGCAAAATATTATTGAAGCCTTTGACAATTATTGTGTTCAGGACAAAAATAATTATTTTACTGAAAAAGGACAACGGGGTTTCCTGCACATTTAATAAAAAGCACAAAAACCTCAACACAAACCTTACAGCTCCCCCCATAGCTCCTCTGTCATTGTACTAACCTCTTTAGATTGTCCTTTTAAAAATTCATTCACTGCAGGTCTCCATACAATAATGATTCTGTCACACTCCTCTACTTACCATCACACTCTTGGGGTCGAAGACAGGCTCCTTGAGGGGCTCTGGTGCTGGAGGCGGGGGTGCGGGAGCTGCCTTGGCAGGTTCCTTCCTCAGTTCTTTCTTAGGGGCCATGGTTTAGCGGGAGCAGCAAGAGCTGGGAGGTGTGCAGAAGCTGTGAGCACACGCGCGAGTATCCGCATCCCCCAGGCCCTTCTTATATAGTACCCTCATCCAGCCACTCGACAGCTGAGAAAGCAGTAACCACTGCCTATAAATGGAAGAAATCTCCATCCCACCAGGGGATAATCGAACAGTGGGGCAGCTTCCAACAGCCGGGACTGCCATGACAACCAGAAAGCCGGCAGCTCTTAAAATCGGAGCTTTTACAATTAAAGGGAACGTGTCCTCCTGAAAAGGTATTTGATAAAAAAAAAAGCTGGAGAGTTAGGGAGGAGTCCAGAAGAAAGAAGATGCTCTGAGAGATTTTGAGTAAAGCTGCAGTGATGCAGAGGTGCGTTCTCTCACTGGGTTTTGTGTTTGCAAAGGCTTACGACTTTCTTTAAACTGCGCGGTGGGAAAAACAATTTAATCTTTTTTTAAAATTTGGGTTGCAGGTCCACAGTGAGATTTTAGCAATAATCCGTTATCTGATGTTCTGCAGTGCCCTAGGGATCAGAGATGATGTTCCAAATCTTTAAATAGCTTTTTCACGGGTAATAGGAGGGAGGCTGGATCCTGGTGTTGGTCTGAAGGAGCTGAAAGAGCAGCCATCTGTCAGTGCCACTCTGCAGGAGCAGTGTGAAAGGAAGGAGCCTTTAGAAAGAAATTCACTCCACTTCTGCCTTTCTGACTACTACACCCAATGTACCATCATACTCACCATCCACTCTACCTAGGACTCACTGCCAACTCTAAGCACTGACTGATGACAGACCATGACATTCAGAGTACTCACTTCAGTACTCACTGATCATTGTACTCTCGTACCACTGATCACGGTATTCCAGTACCACTGATCTCTGTAAAACAGTACCTACTGATCACTGTATTCTAGTACCATTGATCACTGTATTCCAGCACCAACTGATCTCTGCAATCTCGTACCCACTGGTCTCTGTGTGCTGCACTCATTGATCACTGTACTCCAGTACCCACTAATCATTTTACTTAAGCAATGACAGCTTTACAATAGTTTAAACTATAGACACTAGCAGCAAGCATTCCCATGCAGACATTCCTCCAGCCCTAGGTTACTACTGCTTCATGTGATTACACAACCCCCTACATTACTTAAAATACAATCGATACACATTGACGGCAGTGAATATTCGGCTGTCATTTTGCATTGAGGCTCAGATTACATCCAAAACCAAACTCAAACTCATCGTCCAATTAGAATACTGATCATCTTCATTTCACTGCCTAACACTTAAATTACTCACTTGAACTAGATCAGCCCCACCCAGGGATATTTCCTGCGACAGGGGGCTTAACTCCATATCTAACCCCATGCTATACCTCTCAATGGAGTGTTTGAAGGGGACAGTGTGAGAGAACGTGAGAATCCAAAGCAGGAGTAGGCAATTGAGCCCCATGAGCCTGCTCCACCTTTTAACATGATCGTGGCCGATCTTATCTCACCTCAACTTCACTTTCCTGCCAGTTCTCCATAAAGGCTTGTCTTTATTGGTCAGTGCATTGCATACAGGAGTTGGGATGTCATGTTGTGGCTGCTCAAGACATTGGTTAGGCTACTATTGGAATACTGTGCGCAATTCTGGTCCCCCTGCTATAGGAAGGATGTTGTGAAACTTGAAAGGGTTCAGAAAAGATTTACAAGCATGTTGCCAGGGTTGGAGTGTTTGAACTATAGGGAGAGGCTGAATAGGCTGGGGCTATTTTCCCTGGAGCATTGGAGGCTGAGGGGTGACTTTATAGAGGTTTATAAAATCATGGGCACGGATAGGGTGAATAGCCATTGTCTTTTCCCTGGGGTGGGGGAAGTCCAAAACTAGAGAGCATAGATTTAAGGTGAGAGGGGAAAGATTTAAAAGGGACCTAAGGGGCAACTTTTTCACACAGAGGGCGGTACATGTATGGAATAAGCTGCCAGAGCAAGTGGTGGAGGCTGGTACACAATTACAACATTTAAGAGTCAGTTGAATGGGTGTATGAATAGGAAGGATTTAGAGGGATATGGGCCAAATGCTGGCAGATGGGGCTAGATTAATTTAGGATATCTGGTCAGCATGGACTAGAAGGGTCTGTTTCCATGCTGTACAACTTTATGTCTCTATAGCCCTTCAATCTATTACTAATTAAAAATCTGTCTATCTCCTCCTTAACTTTACTCAAAGTCCCAGCATTCACTGCACTCTGGGGTAGTGAATTCCACAGCTTCATGACCCTTCGAGAGTAGTAATGCCTCTCATCTGTTTTAAATCTGCTACCTCTTTACCCCACATGACCTCCATTATCCACTTGGCTCGTTACATCTCCAAAGAATTCTAGCAAATTAGTCAAATATGATTTACTCTTCACAAAACCCTGCTTACTCTGATTGTGTTTTGACTTTCCAAATGTTCTGTTATTACTTCCTTAATAATAGGTTCTAACAATGTCCCAACGACATAAATTAAACTAACTGGTCTGTACTTTCCCAATTTCTGTCTCCCACCCATTTTGAATCAGGTCATTAAATTACAATTTTTCCAATCCACTAGAACCTTTCTGACATCCAGGGAATTCTGGAATATTATAGCCAATGGATCCACAATCTCTGCTGCCTCTTCTTTTGAGAACCTAGGCTGTAGGCCATTAGACCTTGGGCATTTATCTGCCTTCAATCCCCATAGTTTGCTCCGTACTTTTCTTCCCCTGGAGATGATGATTGTTCTAAGTTCCTCCCTTTCTATAATCTCTGCTTTACCTATTACTAATGGGATGTACTAGTGTCCCCCACTGTGAAAACTGATGCAAAATATTTTTTGTGACTCAGCCATTTCTGTATTCACAATTATTAACCTCCCAGTTTCATCCCTCAAGGGACCGTCATTCACTTTAGTTAATCTTCTCACTTTTTTATATATTCATAGAAGATTTTGGGATCCATTTTTATATTTTGTACTAGTTTTCTTTCATAATTTACATTTGCTCTTTTTAGGACTTTTGTAGTAAGCCTTTATTGATCTTTAGAAGTTTCAAAATCTTTCAGGCAGCCACTCATCTTTGCAATATGGTATACCTTATGTTTTTATATTATCTTTAACTTCCTTACTTATCCATGGATGTTTTCTCCCCCTCTTACAATCTTTCTTCATTTCTGAAATATATTTTAGTTGGGAGCAATTCAGTATCTCCTTTAACATCGGTCACTGCTCACCAACTGTTCTACTTTCTGTTCAACCTACCCAGTCTATTAGGACCAGATCTGTCCTCATGCCCACATAATTACCTTTGTTTAACTCTAGAATGCTGGTCTGGAAATGTGGTTTCTCACACTTCAACTGAATTTGAAAGTTCAGCATGCTATGATCACTCTTCTCTAGAGGATCCTTTACTGAGATCATTAATTAGTCCCACATTATTACACAAATACCAAATCCAGAATAGCCTGCTCCTTTGGTCGGTTCCACAACATATTGCTCCAAGAAACAAATCCCTAATACATTCAATGAACTCTCTCTTGAAGCTACACTGGCCAATTTGATTAATCCAGCACTCATTTCAGTTTAAGTGCATTTCAGCAGAAGAATCTAGTGCTATACCTGTCCTGGGAGCCTTTAAAGGGGACACTGTAGAAAGGCCTTGACTTCTGGTTTAAAAGAGTAGAAGGAAGTAAGAAGTAGTGATCATTACATGAGAGAATTCAGTTGGAGTGTGAGAAACTTGGGTCAGAAACAACTGTTTCACTTAAATAAAGGACATTATGATGAAACGAGGATAGACTTAACTAAAGTGGATTAGGCAAATAGATTAGCAGGAAAAAAAAACAGTAAGCCAGCAGTGGCAGACATTTAAAGGAGATAATTCATGACTCTCATCAAAAATATATTCCAGTCAGGAGGAAAGATCCTAAGAGAGGGATAAACCAACCCTGGTTAACCAAGGAAGTTAAGCAGAATAAGGAGGCAAAATAAGTGATAGTCCCAAAAACCGTGATAAATTCAGAATCTGGTGAAGAAGGACTATAAAGATAATAAAGAGAGAGAAAATAAACTACAAAGCAACTAGCAAGGAAAATTAAAAAAAACTGACAATAAAAGTTCATCCTTAAACATATAAAATGGAACAGAGAAGTCAATGTGAACTTAGGTCAGTAGAAAATGAATCTCAGGAGATAGTTACGGGGAACAAGGAAATGGAAGAGGAGTTAAACAGATAGTTTGCATCAAACTTTACAGTGGAAGATATTTTGAACATCTAATTAATGCTAAAGAATACAGGGGAGGAATTAAGTACCATCACTATCACTAGAGAAAAGTAATATTAGACAAACTAATGGTGCTGAAGGCAAATAAGTCTCCTGGACCTGATGGCTTGAATCATAGGATCCTGAAATGGCTACAGAGATAATGGATGCATTGGTTGTAATTTTCCAAAAATCCTTGGATTCTGGAGAAGTACTAGAGGATTGGAAACCCAGTGTGAAATCCCTATTTAGAAAGGCAGGGATGCAAAAAGCAGGCTGATTAACCAAATATATATTCTTGGAAAAACATTGGAATCAATTATTAAGGAAGTAACAGCAGCACATTTGGGAAATCATAATCTAATCAAGCAAAGTCAGCATGGCTTCATGAAAGGATAATTGTGTCTGACTAATTTATGACAGGCTTTCAAGAAGACTCACTAGAGTGGATATAGAGGGGAACCAGTAGATTTGTTGTATTTGGACTTGCAGGTGTTCGACAAGGTACCTTCCAAAAGGTTAAGTCAGACAAAGCTGCAACAGAGGGACTTGGGGGTACTTTGAGTGAAACACAGAAAGCTAGCACATGGATACTGCAGATAATCATAGAGTTATAGAGATATACAGCATGGAAACAGACCTGTTGGTCTAATTTGTCCATACCGACCAGGTATCCTAAATAAATCTAGTCCCAATTGCCAGCATTTGGTGTATACCCATCTATACCGTTCCCATTCGTATACACATTCAGATGCCTTTTAAATGT